CCCCCCCCGCTCTTTGGGGAGTTTCCGCTCCGTCCCGCGTGAGATGCCCCGGGCACATCGTGGGATGCTCCGCAGGGTTTTACTCGGTCCTCCGGTCCTCTGGAAGGGAGGCTCCAGGTGAAATGGACGAACGCTTGGGGTCATCTCGTATTGTACACTGGGCAGGAAGGCTGCCTGGACAGCAGGGCCCAGAGCCTCAGCAGGCCCAGCACCCCTGCAGGCCCACAGCTTTCTCATCCCCACCACCGCTGCCCCCTCGTCTGCCATTCCCAGCGATTACTATCAGTTGTGTGACCTCAGCCAGCTGAGCAGTGGAAGCGCCCCTCGAGAGAGGGGCCAGCTTCTCCATGCTTCCCTGCCCACCACCTCTCCCGGCAGAGAGCATCATGGCAGAGCAGGTGGCCCTGAGCCGGACCCAGGTGTGCGGGATCCTGCGGGAAGAGCTGCACCAGGGTGACGCCTTCCACCAGTCCGACACACATATCTTCATCATCATGGGTGCCTCGGTGAGTCTCCGCAACAGCAGACTTAGAACATGACTGCCCGAGTCCCTCCTCAGTGTCAGCCTTCCCCGGCTGTCTCTTGGGGGGAGTCTCACGGGCGCCCCTCGGTCGGGCTCTCCCAGCCACTCCTGCAGAGCGTGGGCATCCAGGCCCAGTCTCCTGACAGCTCTGCCCAGCCACTGGCTGAGCCCAAGGCCTGGAGCGGGAGGGCTCTGGCGGGTGGTCTGCTTGCACATTCTCCTGCCTTGGGAAAACAGAGGTGCCAACCCAGAGCTTATTCAGGCTGGGGGTGTCTTTTTCCGACCTGTGTGTGGCTTGACGGAGGTTACAGCCTCTTAGTTGTAGAGGCAGGCTCTGAGGCCCAGTCTCCACCTGGTCTCTCTCGGCCACATCCAGTTGCCCAAGAACAGACGCTCCGTCTTGCCCCGAACACCACCTCTCCGCTGCATCTCCCAGGCCTGCTGGGGAGCCTTGACCCAGCTGGCCCTGAGGCCTGGCCAGGGGCCACTTTCCTTAGCTGAAGAGCAGACACCCAGCACAGGCGCCGCACGCTGACCGGGGGTCAGAGGCCGGAAGCAGGGCCCTGTAGAGCAGTGCCCAGGGCCAGCACGTGCTCCAGGTGCTCAGTGGAAGCAAGCCCGGCAGGTGGGAAGCGAGCCGGCCTTCCTTTCCAATCTGGAGCGGGCTCCTCTTTTCACTTTCAACCTGGACCGTGACCGTAGAGTCTGTTAACTGTCGCAGGCCCGCGTCTGCGTCACCTTGCACAATCTTGAGCAGGGCTGCTCCGCCAGCGAGTCAGCTCCAGACCGGGTCGCTGTGGTCTCCCCGCACCTCCGCATCGTGGCCCCTCAGCTCTACAGGAATCAGGTCTTTGTTCACATATCACGACGTGCCGCCGCCCTTGGCACCGCACAGCCAGCAACACGATTCTGTGGAGAACTTGGGAAGAGAGAGCCAGGGTGCAGGAGGGGCCGTGCACGGGGCGCGGGTGGGGGCTGCCCAAGCTCCGCCGCCTGCATCCCTGCCAGCCCAAGATGGGGTGCCCAGGGGGAAGCCGGAGGGGCAAGCCTGGCCGCGCCCTGGGCCGGCTGCGCCCTGTGGGCCCCACACCTAAACTCCCATACGCCAGCGCGAGCTGCCTGGGAGATGCCGAGCTTAGGCAGCGTGTGGCAAGTGGCTTCCTTTCTCTTCCCCTCCTGTTTCCACACAGCAAACTGGCTTTTGAAACAAGGGTCAAGGGCCCCGGGCCCAGCCCGACTCCTCGCGCCTTCGCAGCGCCTGTGGCTGGGCGACCGGCTCTGGAGCTGGGCTCCCCTGGCGCTCCTTCGCTCTGGGAGTCGCCACTAGATGCTCCCGGAGCACGAGTGGAAGCAGCACCCAGGTGTGCTTCTCCCCTCCAGGCAGCCCCCTGCCACCTGGGTGCTGCGCCACCGCTCAGCCTCCCCTGCCCAGAGACCAGTGAGCACTTCATTCATTCGCGGAGGGCTCTCAGCGCCCCTGGTGGACGCTGCAGGCCCTGCCCTGCCCTTGTGTGGGGCTGCCAGCTGTGGGTGGCCAGGTCCTGCAGACAGTCAGCCGGACAGCCAGCTGACCAGTGAGAACCCAGAGTGGCGCATGTGACCGAGGACACTTACCAGACCCAGCCCCCGCGCACACAGGCCCCGTAAGCAGAGCGGGCAGAACCCCCAGTAGCCGGGGGGTCCCCCGGGAAGGCTGGGCCGTGTAAGCACACTCGGCCCCTTCCTCCCCCTCCCTTCCTTGCCCAACCCTTGCCCAATACTGGCTTCCTTCTGGGGGGCGGGGGAGCCTCTTGCCCTGCTGTGGCCACTTCCCCCTTCATAGGATTTCTACTCCTGGCCAGGAAAGAGATACTGATACTTACTGTCCCTCACCAGAAAATTCTGGAGCAAAAGTAACCACTTTCTCCTGACAGATCTAGGTCCGGCAAGGAGCCTGGGCCTGGCTGGTGTATCGCCCTCATCTGATAACCAACCCTTGGGCCAGGGATGGGGAGGAGCAGAAGCTGGAAGACCCCCCCCCCCAGGCCTCTCAGCCCACCTTCACCATCTGGGCCTCCATCTCCCCACATGGAGCAGCTCCGGCCCCAGCACACCGTGGCCCGTGCCGGGATGACCTGGCCACCCAGACCCCTCCCTCCCCACGATCATTTCTGGGCCGATAAGATTCTTGCTGTGTCACCATGACACGGGCGCTGGCCCAAAGGCCTGTGACTCACAAGCCCCAGGCTGGGGGGGCCTTTCCTTGCTCAGCAGCCCCCAGCTCAGCCTGTCTTGCTGGCCGAGAGCCAGCTGGGCCCCCGCCAGGCCCAGCGAGGCCAGATGGACCCTTGACCCCAGTGACCCTGGGGGGGGCAGGAAGAGGGGCCCACCTCTGCCAAGCTTCAAGCTTCATGCCACACCCTCTGCCCCAAAGCCTTGCAAGACACTGCCCGGGCAAGGTTAGGGAGCCAGAGCCCAGGCAGCGCCAGGCTTGTCACGGGGCAGGTCTTTCCCCTGGGCTCCTGGGGCCAAATGAGGGGGCTAGGAAGATCAGAGGCTCCGGCGCGTCTCACCCGCACCCCCATAATTGCACCCACCCCACACATGATGTGCTTGGGGTTTGCAAGTGTCTTCCCACGCTCGCTTGTCTCCAGAGCCCTGAGGGCCAGCGCTGGTGCCCTCTGGCCTGGGCGGGAGGCCCGTGATCGTGGGCTCCACTTCCCCATGGGCGGGAGCGGGGTGCCCCGCCCTCCCCGCACCGCACAGTCCTACCTCGCAGCTCTCTGGGGCGCCTTGAAGCTCCGCAGACGCCAAAACAAGGCGAGCAGGTTCTAGGGCTAGTTAATCCCAAAGGGAAGCGCGAGAGCAAACAGCTTGGGGTGTGGGGCGCAGTGACTCAGCAGACAGGCCAGCCCCTGCCAGCGCTGCGCCTTGTCCCAGCTCTGGGCCTGCTGGAATGTGGCCTTCGCAAACACCGCTGCCCGGGGGAGGGGGGGCGGCCTGGCCCAGCCCGCCCGCCCTCTGGAGCTGTGATGTGAACACCCGGGTGCCGAGGGTACAGTGGGAGGCGAGATGCGCCGACCAGGGCGCAAGTGGGGGGCAGTGGCGTGGCGTGGCCCGCGGGCACGGTGGCTGAGCCAGGCGAGGAGTGCTGAGTCCTGGGAGCCTCGCGCACTGCGCACTGGCCACCTACGGCCAGCCACTGGGGAGATGGGGGCGAGGTGGCCAGGCGCTGGCACTCACGCTCTGTCCACAGCAGAGAGGCCTCAGCCGCCGTGGCCAGGTGCAGGCGCCCACCAGGTGGGGAAGGCCTGGTGCAGCGCGCCGGCTTCCGTGTGGCCTGCAGGCATGAAGGCGGCCCATGGCGGCCACGCGAGCCCCTGCACTCTTCTCCCTGAGCCTGCGTTTCCGCCTGGGCTATGTCACCCTGTGCCCGGGCCCTGTGCCACCTGGCGGCGTCTGGCCAGCAAGGCCGTGGGAGTGAGCACAGGGCAGGCAGATACACGGACTCCCTGCTCCGGGCTTCCTGCCCCTCGACCTTCCTAAAGTCAGGAATTCCTTTGGCAGGACATGACAACCCCGTGGGGCGGAGACGGGACCTTGTGCTGCTTCCCGCGAGCCTCCTGCCCGCTGGTGGAAGTCGCCGGCTGCACGTGCTCGCAGCCCACTGTCCCTCTGGACAGTGTCTGTGCCCGCAAGCAAAGCCGGCAGGCGCACAAGGAGGGCCACTCCTGGCCAGCGCGGCGCCCGCCCCGCTCCGCTTGGCATTGGCATTGCCCCAGTTCCCGCACAGCTGCTCGGCTCAGCCGCTACAGGACGCCTCCGTCTCGCCGGCCGGCCCGCTCCCAGCTTTGCGCGACTGCGAGCTTATTTCATCCCGGCCGGTCCGTCCTGCTTATTCTAGAGCTTCACGCCAAGGTGCTCGGTGTTTAGTCTGGTGTCTCAGGGTCCACCAGGAAGCCTGAGGCTCCGCCGGGGGCTGGGTCCTGGCTCATCCCTCTGTGAGCCCGGGTAGCATCCTGTGGTGTGACAGACAGCTCGTCCGCTCACTGCAGCTGATGGGGGGATCAGGCTGCTGCCGGGGTCTGTGTGGGACTTGGCCTCGCTCCTCGGGGCCGGGCCTCACGGGCTAGGTGAGTGGTTGGGTTTGCGAGAGGCCGCCAGTCTGCTTGAGCGTAGCTGACCTGCCTCCTGCGGGCCCCAGCTGGCGCCCCAGTGTCCGGCTCTTGGTGTGGGTCGCTCGGTCGGTCGGAGCCGCGCCGCCTGGCGGGTGGGAAGCCGTTGCCCGGGGCGTTTTGTTTGCGTTTTTTCGGGTAACGGAAGATTGACGGGTCCCGTGCCCCTGGCCGGTCTCTCTTCCTCGGGAAGCGGCTGGGCTGTTACTTGTCCTCAGGGGGCTGTTTTCTGGCATGTCCCAGTGTGGACGTGAATGCGCTGACTGTCCCCTACCTGTGTCTGCTCTGTCCATCCTCTTAATAGTGCCTTGGGCAGACAGAGGCTTTCACTTCGATGAAGTCTGTACTTACCCATTGTGTGGTCTTCGCTTTCTGCACCCTAAGAAATCTTTGCCGATTTCCATTTGTTGATCTTCTGCATCTCACCAATGTAATTCTAAGCATTCCCCCGCTGCCTTCTGAGCAGACAAGCACCACCGGGCTCTCCTGACCCTCCTGCCACTGTCCAGCCTTGCTGCCCAGACATGACTCAGCAGGTGCCACTTCGGGCCCGGCTGCCTTCCGTGACGCTCGCGGGTTCACGGGCGCCGTGTCAGGTCAAGGAAATTCCTTTTATTGCCAACTTGATACGAGCCCTTATCGAGACGGTGCTGGATTCTCAGGAACGCTGAGCAGCGCCAGCCGGGCGAGGCCCACAGACAGGAGCTGTTTCCTGGTGCTCTCCCTCCTCAACCTGTGGGTGGGGCGAGGCCCAGGGCCCTGTGATTTCTTGGCTGGAAAACCAACCTTTTGTTTCCCGGATGCGCCCACTTGGTTTGATGCAGGTCGTGAGTTCTGACCTCGCGGCAGGGTTTCTCACCGGTGCTTGTTTGTGCCTGTGAGGGGAGCAGCTGGTGTGGCTGCCCTGCGCCTTTCTCAGCAGGTTTGAGTGCCAAGGTCCCGTGGGCCCAGCAAGCGTGCGGGGAGCCTTCGCCTCAGACACATGTGCCCCCTTCCTAGTGAGGCTTTTGGGGACTGTGGGGCTGTCTGGGGCCCGTGGACAGTTCAGCTCCCTGACAGACCATCGCTCACACTGTCCCTCGCTCCGTTTTCATGGGACTGCTCCGGAAATGTGCCCCTTTCAGTTGGACATGGAATAAGGTTGAAGACGTAAGCCTCCTACTTCCTGTCTGCCGCCCACCCCATCACACTCCTAATTTTCAGTCTCTGTGGCAGAAGCATTTGGCCAAGAGGTGGCACGTCCCGACTGCTGTACGCAGACACTGCCTCGGGCCTGCCCGTCCCTTGGCCCGTCGCCGCCGCCCATCGCGTGTCGGGCTTGCGAGTCCCACCACCGTCTCCTCACACCATGCTCCACTGCTTCCCGGTGCCGCTGGGGGCCCTTCTGGTCTTGCTGACGCCGGGAGGCCACATCCCCCAGGGCTCTGGCCTTCCCCCCCCCACCCGTCTAGTCAGTCTGGTCTCCTGCGCTTTCTAGAAGCTGCTGTTGGTCTGGATTCCACCCTGCTTGCTTGTGTTGAGCCCCGGCAGCAGTGTGTGTGGCCACACGGTCATGTCTTTAGCCCACACGGGGGCTGCGCTGGCGGGTGCCCGCTTCTCCGGCTGCGCGTGGGGCAGAAGCGCAGCCAGGGTGCGGAGGCGCCAAGCGAGCGCCATCCCGAACGCCTCCTCACCACGACTGTTCCCTCTGCCACAGGGCGACCTGGCCAGGAAGAAGATCTATCCCACCCTCTGGTAAGCCGGGGCCCCAACCCTGCCCTGCAGCTGCCAGGCCCCACCCTCCCGCCCTGCTTACAGCCTGGCTCTGCCCGCAGGTGGCTGTTCCGAGACGGCCTTCTGCCCGAGGATACTTTCATCGTCGGCTACGCCCGCTCCCCCCTCACGGTGGCCGAGATCCGCCAGCAGAGCGAGCCCTTCTTCAAAGTGAGTAGCTTCCGGGCCCGCACCCCATCCCCGGCCACCCACCTCCTCCGGCTGCCCCAGCCTGGTGGCAGTGGGCCAAGGCCACAGCAGGACACCTACCCAGGGCCACCCTCGCCGTGCTGCTCGTCACGCTCACACCACGCACTGCCTCCCCACTCTGCACAGCGGGTGGCTGAGCCCATTTGCCAGGCCGGCACCAGCCACGGGGCACTCCCAGCCTAGTTTCCTGCGGCCTGACCCGCCCCAGGGGGCGAGGTCCAGCTGTGGGACAAGCCCAAGGAGAACCTGAGGCTTGGGGAGCCCCAGAGCAGGCTGCCTCCGACCGCCCAGCACCGGCCATGGCCCCTCGCCCCTGAACAGCACTCACAAGCCTGTCCCCGGGCGACCGCGCTGCCCCAGCCTCGCGCTGTAAGTGTGCAGGGCTGACAGGCAGCGAGCGTCAGAGTGGTGGATGCCAAGGGGGCCTCTGCCTGCGAGAGAATGGGCCGATCTCGCTGCATCCCTCTTCCCAGGCCACCCCAGAGGAGAAGGCCAGGCTGGACGAGTTCTTCGCCCGCAATTCCTATGTTGCTGGCCAGTACGACGACACCGCCTCCTACCAGCGCCTCGTTGACCACATCAACAGCCTCCACCAGGGACCGACAGCCAACCGCCTCTTCTACCTGGCCTTGCCCCCCACCGTCTATGAGGCCGTCACCAAGAACATCCGGGAGACCTGCATGAGCCAAACGTGAGGCTGTCTTTTCTCCCTCCCTTCCAGCCTCCAGCTCTGGACTGGCAGCTGTCCAGGGCCTTAGGGCAAATGGTCAAGGGTGTCTAGACCGGGTGGATGCCCCTGTTCTTGACAGGCACCAGTTCTCCGAACAAGGGAATGAGCTCCAAATTGCCCATTTTCTAACAGCCTTGTTGAAAGCTACTACCACACCAGTTGACCCCCCCAAATCCCAGTGTCCCCCTCCAGGGCCAGATCACGCTGCAACTCACACGGCTCTGCCAGCAGTTCCCGCCATGACCACACGATGGCAGTGTTGCTCCACGAAACGCGTGCGTTGCGTTCTCCCGGGCCCGGGAGTCTCTGCTAACACCACCAGGTGGCAGTGTTCCCCCGTCAGAATCTGCCCAGCGGCCCAAGCTTTTTTCCCAGAGCCCCAGCCAAAGCCAGCCCACTGTGCTACAGAATGCTGTGCCGGCCCTCCTGGGGAAAGGGATCTTGCCCACTTGAAAACTCCAGGAGGTGCCTTCGTACCCCTCTTCCCTGGGACCCCCACTCACTCCTGGGACCCAGCAAAGAGCAGGAGAGGCACAGGGCCACAGGGAGCCAGCCCCGTGGGAAGGTCTCCAAGGTAGCGGTGAGCTGCTGCCTGGCAGGCGCTGTCCTCAAGTGTGAGGTGCCCGTCCAAGTGGAGGGTGGGGCAGCCCCGAAGGACTGTGCAGGGCCCCGGCCTCCCACCCCCGCAAGAATGGCTATAGGGGTGACGCAGCTCTGTGCTGCTGCAGAGGCTGGAACCGCATCATCGTGGAGAAGCCGTTCGGAAGGGACCTGAAGAGCTCCAACCAGCTGTCCGAACACATCTCCCAGCTGTTCACAGAGGACCAGATCTACCGCATCGACCACTACCTGGGCAAGGAGATGGTGCAGAACCTGATGGTGCTGAGGTGCGCGGACGAGGCTGCGGGGGTCTGCACCTCTGCCGGAGGTGCCGGCGCCGTGACTCCAGCTTCCACCCGTCCCTCCCGCAGGTTCGCCAACAGGATCTTTGGCCCCATCTGGAACCGGGACAACATCGCCTGCGTCATTCTCACCTTCAAGGAGCCCTTTGGCACCGAGGGCCGCGGGGGCTACTTCGATGAATTTGGGATCATCCGGTCAGAGCCTGTGCCCCTTCCTGGGGGGCTGGTCTGGGGTGGCGGCCATCCGGCTGCCCTGCAGAATCTCCCCTTCCTGTCCTGGGGGCCCCTCAGCCCACCTGGCAGTTGGCATTCAGTGGCAAGGAGTCGAGCACCCGTTGATGGCTCTGAAGGGGGAGTGCCGCCTCTATCCTGCCCGGGGGGGCCTGGCCGACGCTGGGATCAGGAAGCACGTCTCGGAACCGGTCACTCCGGCGCGCTGGTTGACACCCAGGTCCCCAGAACCCTGCAGCAGGGTGCAGGCAAAGGTGGGCGGCCCCGCCTTCTGGCCGGCCGCTGACCCGTGGGCACCGCCTTCTAGGGACGTGATGCAGAACCACCTGCTGCAGATGCTCTGCCTGGTGGCCATGGAGAAGCCTGCCTCCACGGACTCAGACGACGTCCGCGACGAGAAGGTGCGTGGAGGGCGCGGCGAGGGCTGGGCGCTGCAGCCGCCCTTCCAGGAAACGGAGGCCGGGCCTTGGGGTTTGCGGTGCTGGGGGAGGCGAGGGGGGAGGCGAGGCGGGCGGCTCGGAAGGAGCAGCAGAGCTGAGCAGGTGCCCGTCCGTGGGCCTGGGCGCACGGCCACCCCTCCCGTCGCCCAGGCCGTCCCTCACCGCCCCCCAGGTCAAGGTGCTGAAATGCATCTCAGAAGTGCAGGCAGAAAACGTGGTCCTGGGCCAGTACGTGGGGAACCCCAGCGGCAAGGGGGAGGCCTCCCAAGGGTACCTGGACGACCCCACGGTGCCCCACGGCTCCACCACGGCCACGTTCGCGGCTGCGGTCCTGTACGTGGAGAACGAGAGGTGGGACGGTAGGTGACGGGGCCGGGCCGGGCGCCACCGCACTTGCCTGTGCGCGTGGCCGCCGCCGCTGAGGCCGCCTCGTCCCCCAGGGGTGCCCTTCATCCTGCGCTGCGGCAAAGCCCTGAACGAGCGCAAAGCTGAGGTGCGGCTGCAGTTCCGCGACGTGGCGGGCGACATCTTCCAGCGGCAGTGCAAGCGCAACGAGCTGGTGATCCGCGTGCAGCCCAACGAGGCGGTGTACACCAAGATGATGACCAAGAAGCCTGGCATGTTCTTCGACCCCGAGGAGTCGGAGCTCGACCTGACCTACGGCAACAGATACAAGGTGCCCGCGGGCGCCCGCCGCCTCCCCGCGCCGCCCCCTCCGCACGCCCCTCCTCACCCGCCCGCCCTCCCCTCCGCCCCCAGAACGTGAAGCTGCCCGACGCCTACGAGCGCCTCATCCTGGACGTCTTCTGCGGGAGCCAGATGCACTTCGTCCGCAGGTGAGGAGCCGCCGGGGCCAGGGCAGGGCCCCCCCGGGCCCCCACCCAGAGCCCCCGTGTCCCCGCAGTGATGAGCTCCAGGAGGCCTGGCGCATCTTCACACCGCTGCTGCACAGGATCGAGAGTGAGAGGAACCCACCCATCCCCTACGTGTACGGCAGGTGCGCGGCAGGGGCCGGGCGGGGGGCCGGGGCGGCAGGGGCCAGAGCGCCAGAGCCCCTCACATCTCCCGCTGCCTGTCGCCGCACAGCCGAGGCCCCTCGGAGGCAGATGACCTGATGAAGAGAGTGGGCTTCCAGTACGAGGGCACCTACAAGTGGGTGAACCCCCACAAGCTCTGACCCCCACCGGACCTGCCGCCCGCCCGCCCGCGCCTCACCACGGCCTCACATTCCTGCCCACGCGCTGCCACCCAGCCCCACTACATTCCTCGGACAGCCCGCGGGGCGCCCATGCCGTCGCCCAGCCCAGCCTGGCACTCGGTGGCACAGTGGCTGCCCAGGAGCCCAAGGCCGCCGGCCCTGTGGGCCGTGAGCACGCTCCTGGACGCGGCAGGCCTCAGGGCCCTCCGCATTCCTGTCCGCCAGCCGGGGGCCTGTGGCCTTGCAGCAAGCCCCCGTCTCTCTGCCCGCACCCGACTGCACTCCGCAGCCAACTCCCCCCGCCCCAAGCAGCTCCTTGCTGGGAATGCAGCACGTGGGACGCCCCCATTAAATCCACAAGAGTCCTTTGTCCTCGCTGTCCTGCCTGTACCTGGGACCAGACCCGCAGCTTCTGCCCTGGACCACCCTGCCCCACTCCGCTGGGCAGCCTCCAGCCCTGACCCCGAGCCCAGGGCAGTGTGGTTAGCGCGCTGGAGCGGGCCCCCAGGTGCCGGCACGTACCCAGCCGCTACTCGGGGCCAGAGGGGCTGCGACAGGTGTTGGCGCGCCTCGGCCTCAGATCTCTGTTTGGATTCGTCCCCTGCGGTCTCAGTGCCAAGGTTCCACACCTGGGGTGGGGGGGTGCACTTGCCGGAAAGGAACACTCCAGCTCTGTACCCCAAATTTGAAAGCCAGGGTGGGCAGCACAGCCGCACCCAAGCCCAGAAGCGGCCCCTTAACCCTGTGCCGTGTCTGCCAGCGTGGGGCACCCCCAGGCCCAGCTGCGGCCAGCACCCCATTGGGACTGCACCTCTGCTCTAACACGTCTCCAATTGCGGGGCTCAGGTGCTCACCAAGCACACCCCCGTGACACCTGCCAGTCGTCCGTTTCCGAGGGCGCCCACTGCGTTCCAGGCGGGTCTGGTTTAGAGAACAGCTGTTCAAGCACACACACTCCCCACAGGGCTGTGGCTGCCCAGCTGTGCCAACACCCTGGGCCCGGTTCTGCTCCGGGCATCCTGGCGGAATGAGACAACAAACAAGTGCTCAGGCCAGTGACCCTCACAGCAGGATGAAGCAGGAGGCCTGGCATGACTGGGGTGCCGGTGGGCAGACAGGCCCGCTGTCCAGGATGAAGCAGGCCACGTGACTCCCAGCAGCCCAACCTGCGGCCCTCCATCCCCCATCACATCTTCTGGCCTGACCTGCCCCTGCACTGTCCCCAGGCCAGGTGGCCATGGCCTGGGCCGAAGTAGAGGGAGATGGGCACTGTGACAGGACACATGGCCACCGCTTCTGACCAGCCCGCATCCGAAGCGCCTGTCCCAGAAGCCAGATGGCGCGCCACACCCTAGGGCCACTCCTGTTCTCCATCAACAGGGGTGACACCTCCCCATTGTGGGTGGGCTGGGGAGGGTGACTGGGGTCGGCCGGACCTGACTGAGCAGGGAAGGAGGGAGGGCCCTTCTAGGTGACAGCGGCTGATCCCAACTCTCCACACACAGCAGCCAGGAAGCCCCGTTTGTGGAAAGGATTGGAGGCGAAGTTTTGGCCCGAGGCCTTCTGTGAAAGGCTGTGAGGCAGCTCTGGTGGCCCTGGCTGTTGAGCACAGGTGGCCCTGGGACAGAGGGCAGCACCAGGGCTCTAGGCCTGCCCCCCTCACCGCCAGAGGGCACCATCCTCCTCCTCCTACCCCAGGGAAAGGCCCTGGGCCTGGCCTGCCACCTGAGCACAGGTGGTACTTCCACACCCCTATGGAAGGCTGTCCCGGAGATGGGGGAGATGGGGGGCTGTGCATAGGTGCCTCCCAAGACCCAGAAGACTGCCACTGGATGCCAGGCCCGAGGCCATAGGGGTGGCGGGTGGGCCTCTGGCCCTCAGGAGACCCCCAGCAGCCCCTTCCAGACACCTGTTCCCAGTGAGATGGACAGGTGGTCTGCTGCAGCAGGTGCCCGGGCCAGCTGGTACCCAACAGTTCAAGTGGCAGGTGCTTCCTCTCCTGAGCACAGTAGGAAAGCCCATTCGGGAAGGTGCTGCCCCTGGTTTGGTGCAGAAGTAAGAGTTCAGTAAATGATGTCTGATCCATTTCATAAGAAAATCCACTACCACCCACTGACAGAGCAGCAGTCTCCTGAGACAGGCTTTCATCCGCTCAGGGAGCCTGGCTTTGGCCAGTGGGGAAGCAGGTGAATTCCAGCCAGAGCAACGTCACCCACCGCCTGGTTCTACGAGCTCCCTCTGTATCTTTGCCAGTTTCCTTAGGAAGGTTCCCTGAATATGGCCCCTGGTGGCCCAGACGTTAGCGTTCGGACTCGGGCTGTCACCACTGTGGTACAAGTTCCATTCCCGGCCAGGGAGTGACCACAGGACTCAGCAGACCCCTCCTGTCTTCCCCACTGCCCCCTCAGCAGTGGGTTTCAGGCCATCTGCCTGTTCTGCTCCCCACTGTCTCTGGGGAGTCCTCTCATCCCCCACACCTCTAGCCTGTACCCCAGTTCTTGTGTGCATAAATAAATCCTTTACCAAAACAATTGGGCAAGGCTGTTGCTGTTTCCCATGCGGCGCAGGGGCTGCTTTGGGGCCAGTGGGTCGGCTGCCCGGGTGCCCCTCCCACCCCCACCCCCCCGGGCCGCAGAGGAGCCACGGGCGGGCGGTGCGGCCGGCCTCGGGGCTAACCCAGTCCCCGTTTCGCCGGCGCTGGGAGCAGCCTGGAGGCGCAACACGGGGCGCCTGGCGAGGGGAGGTCGAGCCTGGAGGCAGCGGCCGCCGCCGTGTGCTGTGCCCCGGCGCTCTGCGGTACCTCCCCGGCTCCTAAGGGGCGCACAAGTCAGTTTTATCAGTTTTCTCATCGCCAAGCTCCCCCCAGATCCGTCCACGTCGTCTCTGGCTTCAGACACACAAAGCGCGAGTCGTCAGCGTGGCGCTAACCCAGGCAGCCCCGCCGGGTCCGCGACCCTCCACCCACCGGGCTCTGGGGGAGACACCCGCAGCCCGCCAGTCGTGGGCTCAGGGCGGGGCTAGGGCCTCTCTGGGCCCCGCCCACCAGCGGTCGGAACGGGCAGGGGCGAGTCTTGGGGCGGGGCCTTCCGGTGTCGCCCCGCCCCTGCCCGGCGCTGGCCCCGCCCCTGGCCGCCATTGCGGAGCCCGCCGGCCTCCCAGCGCAGCTCTCCGCCTACCTGCGCGCGAGCCGCGGCCCTCCGGACTGCGCCGCCCGCCGACCGGCCAGCGGGTCCTCAGCCAGGCAAGTCTCCGGCCGCCCAGCCCGGAGGCGCGGTCTGCGGCTCGGCCTCCCACGGGAGGGGCGGAGTCGGGGAACCACTTCCAGGTCCTAGTCCCCGAGGAGAGGCCGCGCCTGCCCCGCACGGCGCCCCCGCGTTCCGGAGGTGCCTGGCAGCTGCTGGAGCGAACGACACGGGCACCGAGCTCGCCCGCCTCTCAAGCCGGGCCCGGCACGGCTTTCGCCCTGACTCCCCCCTTTCTCCTCTGCTCTGTTACCCCAGAGCGCGGTCCCCAAGTGCGGCGCTCACCGGCCCCGCGCCCCAGCGGCCGGAGTGGACATGAGGTTGGCAGGTAGGCGATGCCCCCGTGAGAGGAAAAGGAAGCCGCTGGCGACCCGAGCCTTCGGAAGCCTGACCCTGGCGGCGGGGTCCTGCGCGCTCATCCTGCGACCTTGAGCGGAGACTAGGGGCCCCCCCATTTCTCCAGCTCGCGAGACTGGCGCTGTTTGGAAAGGGGGCGCCGGCCGGCGGAGGGGCTGCACTCGTCCGCTGAGCAGGCAGGCGCGCGTCTGCAGCGACGCCGTGGCCAGGGACGCCCCAAACTGGGAGTGCTGACCCGCTGGGGTGGCAGCGACAGGGAGGGTGTGGCCTGCAGGGCATAACTGCGAACAGGCTGAGCCTGGGCGATGGAGGGGCGCACCGGCACCTGCCCGCCCTGGGGCAGCTACAGGAGACACGCAATGCCCATGGGGGAGTGGGCTCACCTGGAGGCCTGCGACAAGTGTCTCCTGTAGGAGGGCCTGGGCAGCCAACTGAGGGTTCCAGGTCAGAGCAGTGGACACCTGGCAGGAACAGGTAGCTTTGACCATCGACTGTTGGGAAGGGGGTGATGAAGCCACAGCCCAGTGCGCCTGGCCCAGGGAAGAGTGACCTGAGAGGCTGTGGGTCAGCGGCTGGGGTGGGGGCCAGGGACCGGGACCCCAAGTCCACCACCACGCACCCACAGCAAATGGCCTTCTCCTTCCTGTCCCTCAGTGGGAGGCGGGGGGGGGGAGGCTTCCAGTGCCCCTGCAGCTGAGGTGGCCAGCCTGTGACTGTCCCGCCAGGCCCCCTGCGCCTCGTGGCCCTGCTGGTCACCATGGCCCTGACCTGGATCGTCGTCAGCATCCTCCTGGGTGGGAAAGGCAGTGGCTTTCCTCGCCTCCAGCAGCTCTTCGCCAGTGAGTGTGGGTCTTCCCTGCTGAGGGGAGGGGCTAGGTTGGGGGCAAGGGAGGGGCTGGGTGCCCATCTCTGTCTCTTGGGGGGCACTAGGCCTTCTGGCCCGCCGTGCGCCCCGTACCTTCAGCCCAAAGCCCAGTGTCACTGCTGGGGCCAGCACCAAGGGCAGGCCCCACCACCCCCTGCCCTCTGCCTGCGGGCTCTGAGAGGGGAGGGACGCTTGGTCGGGGCACCTTCTCCAAGGCCCAGCCGCCCGTTCCTGGGGCGGGGGCGGGGGGCCTGGCCCTCCTGGCTTCCCCTGGGCCCGCGCCGGACCGCCCCCTGTGCCCGGCTCTTGGCCGCGGGCCAGGCTGCTCACAGAAACCACTCTGCACCCACAGGCCCAGAGGACTCGGCGACCGCAGGTAAGGGTCCCGTGGCCTCCCGCCTGCCCCGCCGCCCCTCAGGCCTTTGTGGCACCCCCCCCATCCTTCAGGGTTGCTGTTCCCCACACTCCTCTCCGCTGGAGCTGCGTGTGCGTCGAGCCCGGAAGATCCTATGCCTGCTCCAGAGCATGCTGGCCCCGACACAGGCTAGACAGGCTCTCTGCGATCAGGACCGCCTTGGGCAGGCCTCTTGCGCCCTCACCAGAACCTTTCCCACCAGTTTCCTTTAGGGCAAAGGGACCCTCTTCTAACACACACCTGAAATTTCTGAGCCTCCCCCCACTACCCAGCTCCAGGGCCATTTCTACTTTTGGGGATTCATTACAGCAGCACCCCCACTCTCTGCTGTCGGAATCTGTGTCACATACCACACTGGGAGCTCCCCCCACGCTCTCATCCTCTCCCAGCTCTGGAAGCCAGAAGTGGGGCATCCAGGTGTCCCAGGGCTCCCCTCTCTGCAGGGACACCTGAGGGCTCCTTCCTGCCCTCCCAGCTCGGCCTCCATCTCAGCAGCCTCCTCTCTGCCGCTGACTCTGCCTGTCTTTCCTATGGTGCTGTCCCCGGATTGGGGGGGCAGGGTGAGCGCCTCTTAGCTAACTGCATTTAAAAGCCCTGTCTCCACGCTGCACACGGGGCAGAGCGGTGCTGGGGAAAGCCTAACAGGTGTGTCCTCTGGCCCCCGCCCCGCGGGGCTTGAATGCCCCCCTGTGGTGTACCTGCCCACCCACCTCCTCTCTGCGGCCCACGCGAGAAGTCTCTGCCCTGGGCCAGCGCCGCAGGGCGCAGTGTCTGGAAGCATCTGGCCATGGCTTGAGCCGCGGCCCCCCCAACCAGCTCTGCATCGTGGTCACCCATCTTGCACTCTGGGCTAGTCTTAACCCCCCTCAGGTCTCAGGTAGCCGACCCCAGGGCAGGCCCGGGGCTCTCACCTGCTGTCCCCCCAGAGCCGCGGGCCAGGAAGTACAAGTGCGGTCTGCCCCAGCCATGTCCCGAGGAGCACCTGGCCTTCCGCGTGGTCAGCGGGGCTGCTAATGTCATCGGGCCCAAGATCTGCCTAGAGGACAAGATGTGAGCTCCTGGGGGTGAAGTGGGGGGCCAAGGAGGGATGGGGAATAGAACCTGGATCTGCAACAGCAGGACACAAGGGGAAACATGCCACTCAAGGGCTCAATCCCTCTCAGGCTCATGAGCAGCGTCAGGGACAACGTGGGCCGAGGCCTGAACATCGCCCTGGTGAACGGTGAGTCCCCCAGCTGGGCAGCGATGAGCACAGATGTGGAGCCTCGCCACAACCTGTCACCCTCCGCCCGCCTCCTCCCCTGTGGAGATACCCAGGGGATGGGTGGGGTCTGTACAAGCTGAAGGCTCCTCAGAGAAGCCACCCTCTGAACAAGTAAAGAACCAAAAGTTTCCAGGAACTTGGAGTGTGCTTCACGAGGGATCCCTGGAGGCCTCAAAATGCCAGGCTGGAGCTCAGCAGCCTAGCTGTGCTGCAGCTGTCCGAGCAGGGGCCTGTTGGGCATGACTAAAAGGGCTCTTTGGAAAGCTTCCAGAAGGCTGTGGTGGCTGCCACCGTGTCCCAAGCCTGATCTGGGGTCACCAAGGCAGTGGGGTGCAGTAGCCCTGGCAGCTCACCCAGCAACCACCCCCTCTCAACCCAGGGGTCAGCGGAGAGCTCATCGCGGCCCGGACCTTTGACATGTGGGCTGGAGGTGAGTCCCCCTTTGCGAGCGCCGCGGGCGGGGTCTGCCTCATGCCACTCTCTGGACGGTCATTTGCGGGCACCTCCCCGGGTTCAGAGAAGGCTGGGGAGGCAGGCTGATGGTCTGGGCATAGCCCACTGCTATGTCCCATCTCAGTTGGTGCCCTGGTGGGTGTGCCCTGGGCCCAGACCCTCCCTGCTCCTCGGGACTGGGCTGTGGCTTCGCATGGTGTGGCTTGGTGGGGGGGGCTCCTGAGAAATGATACCCCACGTTCCATGGAACATGTCCCCCAGATGTCAACGACCTGCTGAAGTTTATTCGGCCCCTGCACGAAGGCACCCTGGTGTTCGTGGCATCATACGACGACCCAGCCACCAAGTAAGTGAGCGCGGAGCCTGCTGGCAGCCTTACCCTTTCGCGTGCCCACCCTGGCGGCCCAGTTCATGGCCCTTCCGCTGTGCGGCAGGATGAACGAAGAGACCAGGAAGCTTTTCAGCGATCTCGGCAGCAAGAACGTCAAGGACCTGGCCTTCCGTGACAGCTGGGTGTTTGTGGGGGCTAAGGGGGTGCACAACAAGAGCCCCTTTGAGCAGGTAGGGTGGGAGCGTCTCCCAGCTGTTCACACCAGAGCCTCTGGGCTCTGCCCTGCTCGGGGCAGGGCCGTCACCAACTAGATTTTAGGCCAAAGTTTTCATGGTGGCAAGACTCCAATCAGCAGCCCCCATGACATCCACCCTGCACCCACAACCCTGCTGTCCAGCTGCAGCTGGCTGCTTGTGCCAGGCTCTGAGTTGAAAGCCATGGCACCCCTCAGCCCTGCCCCCGCAGCAGGGCAAGGCCGGCAGGCTGTTCTTGTGGCTTCCAGAATGCTCTGGCTCAGAGCAGCAACACCCCGGCCTAGCTCCTAGCTCCCAGCTCCCTGCCTTGGGCGAGCGCACCCAACAAAGCACCCTGGCCGGCAGGCAGTGCTTGACCCCACCTCAGTTACGTGACGCTCTGGCAGTTTCTTGTGACGAGCTGGGCGGGCTGGGCTGGCTACAGGAGGTCTGGCTGACGCTGCCTTTCTCGCGCAGCACGTGAGGAACAGCAAGCACACCAACAAGTACGAGGGCTGGCCCGAGGCGCTGGAGATGGAGGGCTGCATCCCGCGGAGGCGCGTGGCCGGCTAGCGGCACCCAGAGGCGGCTGCCGCAGCAGCAGCACAAGCAGGGCTCAGAGCAGCCCAGCGCGGTCCGGGCACCCTCTTGCCCGTGCATCCCGCGCCAGACCAGTGACTGCAGTATGGCCCGGAGGTGGCGGGGGCGGTGCAGCTGGCCAGGTGCGACAGCCCAGACGCCTGTCTCCGTTTCCAAAAACTGCTCCCCCTGGTCAGCCCCCCTCATCCCAAGCCACCAGGTGAGATGCTGGTACCTCTCTGCGAGGCAAGCAGCAAAAACTTCCGGATGCTCTCTCCCAGAGGCACTCACTGCTTCCGGCTCACCTTGTTTCTACTGAATTTCCTTCAGTGACCCCCACCTGGCGACTCTGGAAGTTCCCCAGCTGCCTCCTGCCTCACTGGGCAGGAAGGGGCCACCTGGGGACCAGGCCAGCCCAGAGGCGGGGTACCTGCCTGGGGCCACAGTCCTCCCTCCTGGAGAACCGCTCAAAACCACTGCCCCAGGCCTGCGCAGAGCACCTCAGGCTCCATGGCTCACGCCACCAACAGGCTGGCCATTCGAGCCTTGGCCTTGCCAAGAGACCATTCTGCCTTCGGGGCCACAAGCAGCTCAGACTCCTGCCAAGGGCACAGGCCTGTAGGGACAGCATGTGGCCCACGCCTCCAGGCCACACTTTGTCCCACGCAGCAGCCGGGTGCCCGCACTGTAAGCCTGGGAGGGTTCAGTGGGAGCAGGGGAGTGAGCCCCAGTGACAACACCCAGCCACCTGTGCCCCGCCAGGGTCCCCCCAGCCAAGTCCACTCGGCCCGGCGCTGGCTAGGAAGCCAATGGTGGGGGGGGCTTGGCCTGCAGGGATGCGAGGCGTTGTGCCTCCTGCAGCCCGAGGGGATGTTACCCCATGTCTACCCTTGGGTTAGGACATCACGAGTTCCAGACTCCCAACCCAGCATGGCGCAAGCCAAAGCAGAAATGACCTGGGAAGGAGGCGTCAACCGTTACGCCCCACACTGGGGCTCTCACTCCGACGGCACAGGACCTGCACCTCCGGCCTGGCCGTCTGCTGGCTTCTGGACAGACACGCAGTGTCCCTCAGTCTCGGTTCAGCAGCCCCAGCAAGCGGCCTCCCACCTTCCCCACAGTTCCGTCAAGTGCCCCGGCTCCGCCTAGGTCCCCACTGGTGGCCTCCTCTTGCAGCGGTCTGCACTGGCTCTGGCTGGCTCTACCCAGCCTTGGGCACCGAGGACAGGAGGGATAGTCCCCCGAGGATACAAGGGTGTGCCTGACGCTGGGCAGGTAACCGTGACCGCTGTGACCCCGTAAATCCCGAAGACGTTCCGTGCTGTGTGCTCGGCCGAGCATCACACCCCAGAGCCCAGCCAAGCAGGCGCCTCGGGTCACGCAGGTCCTTCAGTTTGGCCACCTCTCTCCTGTGTTGCATCTGCTCTCAGTCCCGAGAATGTTCTTCTTGGAACTGGATCTTGACAAATTTGAGCCCGTCCCTACTCCTGAGGCAAATTTTTCTGCCCCAAACCAACCATGGACATTCTCTTGCGTTGATGTTAGCTGCCCCTTTTTCCTGCAGCAAAAGGCACCAGACTCCCTCATGACACCCCACCAGCTCCCTCTGACTTCTCAGGAAAAGCTGGAGTGACGACCCGTGACGGGCTCTTCTGACCACACCCCCCTCCTCAGCCCCTGGCACCCAGTCCATTCAGCAGAAATCAAAACTCAGGTGTCCTCCCACTGCCAGCTGGCCCACCCCCTTCTCCCCTGGCCTGTTTCGTGGGGTTCTCATGGCTGCCCTTGCCTTCCCACACACAACTCTGGTCCCAAGCACACCCTTCAAGGCGACCTCGGCACCTGCTCCCGGCAGGACCCCTCGGCCCATCTGAAAAGTGTGGTCACCCGAGGGCACCAGCCGACTTCCACCCAAACACCTCTGCCACCAGGCCCTGGGCTCAGCAGCCCAGAGCTCTGGCCCGAGTGCTCTTGGTCACAGACGTACCTGAGAACGTACCTGATGCCCGCAGACTCGCTCAGGAGCATGTGGCCATGGGAACGCAAAGTTCAGAACACAAACTTTAGAACTCATTGCGAAGGAAGGGTGTTGATGTGAGTGAAACAGATTTATTAAAACTACTTGAAACAGCAAACACTGAGGTTCTGCTGGACATTTGCAATGACGCCCTGTGCGCCTCCCCGCCCGCAGCCTTTCAGGAGTGTTCCCAGAGGTCCTCTCAGAGCTGCGGGCGGCCACTGACCCACGGGCAGATGGATTCCAGTGGCCGCCGCAGCCTTTGGGGACACAAACCCGCTTCCACACTGGCCTGGTTCACTGTCTTCCGAATCCAAGGTCCCTTCTACATGCTCCGCACTGTTTTCGACTCTGTCCAGGACAGTTTTTCAATTATAAATTCAGGAAGGAAAACAAGTCTGAACATATCTTTGATACTGCTGGTAGTCAGCACCTATGTGGCTTTGGAAATCAACACAATCAGTGACAAATAAAACTTACCTGCTACTATCGACATTTCAACCTGCAGCCCTTTTCTAAGCGAGAAGGTTAAGGCATGCTGTTCCGCTTGTCTTTCCATAGATTTGTGCTTTTCAGAAAATCAGATGTTTCCACAGCCACTATCCTTCTGGAAATCTGGGCTCTATTTTGGGGCACCCCAGGTTTATGCTTAGAGGACAGAGCCCAAGTGAGACACAGCGTGCTGCTCTTTCCTGCTGTTACCTGAAATCACAATGGGTGGGCAAGTCAGTTTATTCTTAAAAACGCCCAGTTCAGGGCCCTCCCTGGTGGGGCAGCGGGTCACAGCACAGCAGCAAGAGGCTACGGGCCGCGTCCGCGTGAGTTCCATCCCCGCCCCGGAGGGGACCCCATGGCTGGCAGACCTGTCCTGCCCCGCCCGCTGCTCCCCTCAGCCGTGTGCTTCGTCCGTGGGCCTGCCCTGCTCCCCGCTCTGTCTCTGGGGAAGCCTCTCGCCGCCCCTGCGCCTCTGGCCTGGACCCCAGCTCTGTATGCGTATTTTTTCAAAAAGACGCTACCTATTAACAAAAAATGTCCCGGTCATAGGTACTGGCCCGAATTCTTGGAGGGGGGTCCTTTGTGTAGTGACTTGTAATGGAGACTGACACGAGTGTAAGATTGCCGGCTGAAGACAACGTTGGGTTCCACCAGAACGAATTGCCGCACGCTGGGCCTTCTGGTGGCTGCGAAGGCTTTCGCTTTCCTTTGCACGTCCCTGGACGCGTTCGCCCGGGGCCCACCTTTACGCTCAGGAGGTCGCCAGTGCGCACTGCCCGCAGGCAACCTGCGGCACTCGCCCGCCGCGGCTACTTCCGGGTGCTGAGCTCGGCCCTCTGCTCTCGCACCGTGCGCTCCCAGCCGTCGGCCCCAGAGCCGTCTCTGCTGGTCGGGGTCAGGTCGTCACCTCACCGCGCCTCGCGCACGGCTTCAAGCTCCGCGACGAGCGAGCGATAGCTGCGGGCGTGCGCGCCTGAGGCGGCCGAGGCGCCCGCGGCTCTTCCCGCCCTCTCGCCTCTTCCCAGGCCGCCGGTCCGCCACCTGCCCCCGAAGCCTCCTAACTCGCTGCCGGCGCCAAGCAGCCAGGGTGGCGGGGCGAGAGAGCGAACGCCCGGGACAGCGCCCCAAGGCCGGAGCCGG